TATTAAAAGTCATGTGTAAATATAAACTCACGTGTAATGTACGTTTCTCAATCAAATCTGTAGTATTTGAATTACACCCGATACCCAAAAGTCTCCGAACACTTAAAATCCTTATTTTTGCGTGATATCACGTAATCAAATAATACTTTTGAATTCTTTGGTTATGAGCTTGGAATCCATGCAGTGATTCTCGATTTCAAAAAGGGCACTTGCAAAAAATTGTGATTTTTACAGCAATCATCAAGTAATAAACCCAGCATCCCTTTTAAAATCATAATATCCCGGGAATTACTGCGTGGATTTCTATCCTCTTGAATGAGCCAAACAAAATATTATTTGATCGCGTGATATTACGCAAAAAACAAGAATATATTTGCATTCTAAAAGTGTCCGGAGATTTTTGGGTATCGAGTGTAAGCTCCACATGTTCTCTTTTTCTAATAATCCATTAGAAAAAAAAATAAAAAAATAGAAATTTCAATATTACAAGATCTTTTAATAAAAGCTAAATAATCATGAACAAATATTGCCAATAAGAAAGTAAACCTATTTTTTTAGAAAAAAATTTTTAGCAAAATTCATTATTAAAAACGCAAGCAAGTTTGGTCATTTACTTGTCTAGAATGAACTATCAATCAATCTTGCACCTCTTACAATTGTTCGAGTACTATTGAAATTGAAAATGTCAATACAGTCAAATACTTCTATAATTACATCTCTATATAATAATTCAATTTAATTTAAGTGGTTATAATTAAAATTTATTATTTATAGTCATAACTCTCTATAGTCACCCCATTTTGCTTTAATTATAGATATTGATTATAGTTCAGTTAATAAATTATTTTAAAATCTGAAACTTGTATTAAGCTAGTTATAATTATATATTTAACTAACTTATAGAATCAGGTTTCATTTTCAATCTATTTGTTATCAAAGTATCAAAATCAAAAGACTTCAATTTGCAAAATAGTATGAAAATTGAATTAATTTTTTATAATATTGGTGACTTTTATAAGGTTAATAAAATAATTAATAGTACATTAAATTATAATAATTTTGATTTCGAAACTTATAAAATTATGTATTGTTATCAATAAAATTATTTTTAATTGAATAATAATTATAAATACAGCATATAAATTACAATTTCCTGATAATTATATTTTTAAATTATAGTTATTACTGATTATCTATATAAAATAAAAACTTCAAAAAATCATATCGAATTTTTTATCATGAAAATAAGTGCTTATAATTATACAAAAAATAATTTATCTCTTTTATCTCTTTATAGAATACAAAAACTTAATTTAGAAAATAATTTCATCATATATAATCAATTAATAAAATAGTAATTCGTTAATAATAAAATGATTATTTTGGAAATAATTTTTTTAATTTAAATTCTATTAAGCACTTATAAATAAATTGGTATTAATATTTATACTAATTTATTAACTTATATTGAAAAAATTTGTAATTTATAAAAGTACAAAGTGATTATATAAGATAATAAGCATATGAATTTTTATTATTTTAACTTTTATACATTGTTTTTAAAAAAATAACTGCAATCATTAAGCTTGTAAAAACTAAAACTATAATATATTGTTTATTAAATATATTAAATATAATTTAATATATTTAAATCTGTGCAAAATATTACAATTTAAAAATTTTTAATTGTATATTATAGTTATTACTTTTAAAAAGTATAGTTTAATTAGATATAGTCAAATCTTTTTCTAGTTATGTTTTATAAAAACCATACTATAGTCATCCGTTTTCAAAACCAGCCCACTATAAGCACATTTATTATACAACCCCATTATAGTCATATTCATGAAAAAAATTACTATTGAACCTGACAGCGTGACTATAGAGAAAATTGACTGTATTTAATAATTGAAAAATGAAATTAGATAAATATAAAGAAATATAATTATATAACTATTTAAAAATATCTATAGTTTACGCTATTTAAAGACTGTAATTACATGATTTGTCCTATTTGCGATCCAAAAATTTATGGTTAAAATTGATTTATGATATTTTAAATGATAAAATCACGTGACTGCGTTGGTACTTTAACACGTGTTCAACGAAATAGTCAATCAAACTGAGACCTTGATCCAATAAAATTGTATTCATTTGTTTCACAATTTGATTGGTTGATCACAAGTCATGTTATCGTTACATGTATATAAAAAAAGGGTACGTACATGTACATGGATTTTTAAATTAATATAATCAGACTTCAAAATAACAGTCTTTTTCTCATCTCTGTTTGATGCGCCATTACCTTTTATAGATCACTAATTTTATTTAAGTGTATGTACATGTAATACAGTCAACTCTTGTTAAATTGACTATATTTTTCTTCGATTTAATGGTATTCTAATTAACTTAGATAAAATATGTGGCTATTAACCTATATTTTATTTATTTATTTAAAGATATAGTCAACTCTCATTAAATCAAAGAAAAATATGATCAGTTTAACGAGAGTTGACTGAACCTTCAAAATCTTAATATTTTTACTGAAAATTATCATGCTATAAAAATATAGTATCAAATATAATAATTTTAAATGATATATTATGTAAACTATTTAGTTTTTTGTTTGTAACATTATAGTAAAAAATAAAAATTATTACAAGTAAATTTTGATAAATCTTCAAGTATAATAATAATAATTGCGACTTAGAAATTTTATGCTGAGTTTAATTTATTATTTATTTGAGCTACAAACAAAATATATTAACAGGATTTTTGATTATGTAAGACAAGACTGCAACTGAATAACAGATTTTTATGTTCACGTGATATTATATGTACATGTAATTATTTATTATTCCAGATCTTTAAATCAAAGAAATTACAAAATCGACGTATAATACGAAACTTTAAAGCAAATATAATATTTTTTGAAAAAGCTTTATGTTTTAACAAAAACAGTTTATGCTAAATTTTGATATATAACCCGAACGCTAACCCTAATCCTAACCAAAACCCCAATTTTTTTGTTGGTGACGCTGGAAAAGATTGTGGTCACTTGTGAAATATAATTTATTATTAATTGTTTATTTTCAACGTGTATAGTTTTATTTTAACAAAAAAATAGCTAACTCTCTGATTTTATGAAGCTATTTTTAAAAGAAAAGCGATTTATTTTAATATAAAATTATAGCGTTTTTATTTTATTTTTTTTTGACAACCGATTTTAGTGATGTCTTCTGAATATCACATAATTTCAAACACGCTTTTTTCAGCATTAACTTGTTAAATTAAATGAAGCATATAAAATTACAAACTGAATAACATGCCTATTACATAAAAATAAGAAAAAGTGATTTACATACAAATAGTTTTACTTCTCTTAAATAGAGGTTGGAACCAGATTTATTTAATTATAACCATTAGTATCGGTTTTAATATATCCGGTTTCTTTGATTTAACCGGTTTTTATTATATCCGGTAAAACATAATCTAGAATTAATTCATTTATTTATTTATTAAATAAACCAATTCTATCGATATCACTATTTATTAATAAAAAAATATGTATCGATAAAATTCATAAAATTTTTATTGTTCTAAAGGTGGAAACATGGTAAATATATGCTATTACGTCGCAAAAATAAATTACTAAATCAGGAGTCAATCTTGTTCTTTTTGCTGAGATATGATTACCAGCATCCAAAAGAGTCGTTCACTCGGAACTGATATAGCGGGAATTGAGGATTTAGTCTCAGAATTTGATTTATTAAGATCAGGTCCTAAAGGTGAAGCAGGAGAAGAAGAACGAGAAAGTGCCATTGCAAATTGTTACAAAGTCATATCCTCACATTGTATTTTATTATTAAGTATAAAAACTTTATTGTCATGTAATCAAAGTTGATTGTACATGTATTTTATTATTGCATGTAACGGTACTTTATTTGTCGTATAATCGAAGTTGATCTTATATCAGTAGATTGTAATACAAACAATCCTACGGTTTAGATCAGTTTCATTATATTCGAATATCTCCGGTTTTATTAAAAACCGGTCTTCGTATTCATGTTCGAATTTAAATTCGAACCGAATAAAATTCGAACCGAATAAAATCCGATTTAAATCCGAAGACCAAATCCGGTTCCAAACTCTACTCTTAAAGCATAAAATAGTTGGTATTTGAGAATAGTGAATGGAGAAGTGTTTTCACAATCACAAATTGACATCGATGAACACAGTCGATCCTGTTAAGCCGAAGCCTTATATAACTAAAACCTACATCAACCGAATTTAGTTCCAGGAACAGTTATAGTAAACTCGCCTTGATAAATAGAAGTTGATTCAGGAGCAGTAAATCGAACTTCCTAAATAAATCGAATTTTCTGCATCTCAGTTTAACAGTGTAATGCGAATGTCAGTATGGTATAATACCCTAGCCATGGCGAAAGAAAAGTGACGGATCATGTGATTCTGATACCGATGTCGATCCGACACCAACCTTCCGACATCCCTCTTAGTTATAATATTAAATAGAGTTTCGGTTAGGGTTAGGATTAGATTTAGGGTTAAGGTTATTATATAGCATATAGCTGATAGGAGCATAATGTATAGTAAAATTTTGTAAAGAACATTTTTTGTTAGAACACAAATGACTGAAGCGTTTTCAATTTTTTACGTTACACATTGATCTTGCGATTTGATTGGTGCATGAGGGGATATATATTGGATGGTCGACATCGGGATCACATGATCCGTCACTTTGTTTTGCCATGTCGTTATGCTATAATCCTACCAGTAGTATGTGTTATCATTATAATGGTAGTACATGTTAAGCTTTTTCCTGTACCATACTCATCCGGTTATCCATACCATACTGATATTCATTAGACCCGTTTAACAGGAGCGACTGTGTATTAGGATCATTGCTTACCGTATTTCGCCGCATAGATTATTTTTCTGCTGAATGAATAAATAAGATTCACGGTGCAATTTCTTCAAAAATTTTTGTACTTTATGCGGCGGAATACTATATTCCGGGTAGCTTGCGTCACATTAACCACATTACTTGTCAAGTGAGGGTAAAATTTTGTATACAGTACACGTACGACGTATCATATGTCGATAGAAAACGCGTACATAATGAAAATAGGTATTTCTGAAGAATCATGAAAAAATTTTAACGAGAAATGTAAAAAGTATATTTTGCAATAATTGCATTAATATGAATATTTCCTTTTATTAATACAAGTTTGATACATATTAATTAAAAATGTATATTTTTTGTAATTCCAGCTCTGTTATAATTTTATTTTACTTTATCCAGAAACTAACAATTAGGGAAGATATAAAGAATAGAAATTTTACACTGTAAGATAATTTTAGTCTTCATAAATGCTATATATATGTATATAATTACTAGGAATGTTGGTTGATAAAAAATATAAATCATATTTAAAAATATAAATTTTTCTCGATCGAACTTTGCGGAAAAATATATTGTGTAGGCGTTTTTTCAGAAAAAATTGGCTGAGACAGTAAAAATATTTGATTATTATCGTTATTATTATTATTATTATCGTTATTATTATTGTTATTGTTATTATTATTATTATTATTGAGATAAAATTTATATAGATAGTAATGGTTTGGTATATTAAAGCCCAGAGAGGCAGGATTTTGAGAGAGGGATTCCAATAAGTCAAGATTAATCAAAGTTGAGGAAGCAATATCTTTATTATAAACATCATAATTAAATTTTAATAGATAGAAATCATATCAATAGTGCATTTAAAAAAAGCAAACCTTTCACAGTATCAATTGACTTTTTAGCATTCGCAATTAAAATTTTAACTTCGTAAAATAAATTTTTAAAGCATTCTTTTATATCTTTAGAAGAATTTTTCCATGCTGCGCTAGCAATGCTAGAGACATAGCGTCTTTCCAGTCCACTGCCTTTAAATAATGTTTGGATCGAAGTGCGAAATATTAAAAATGCATTAGGACTTTTGCCCAGCTGTTCTTTTTTATTTCGGATATTAGTAAATATATGTGTCGCTTCCGGAATTTTGATATGTTCGCAAAAAATTATGTTTTCTTGGAAACTTGTTATTAAATATAATAATTTTGAAGAATCATCGAGTGATACTATATGTGTAAGTTGATTAAAAAGATGATCTCGTGTATAATCTTTAATATCGCTAGAGTTTTTTTTATTATATCGTGGCATAATGAAAGTGAATATTTTATTATGTCAAGATTACAATAAAAGAGCAAATAATATCGATGAAAAGTATGTTTTACACTTTTTTCATGCTTTATATATAAGAATTTTTTATAGAATAAATCAAACATAAATTGCATTATTGATAATAAATAATATTCTGTTCAACAAGCATATTTTGAGAAATATTTAATGGCATATAAGATTATAATCAGATTAGAAACTTGAATCAAGTGTTGAGAATATTTTTTGCACAAACGAACAATGCAAATAGTTTACAAAAGGAAAAAATAGAAAGGCTAAACTAGTCTTTTAGCCCATCAAAATGTGATGTGTTCTGTTTGAAAATTTGTATTCATGCAAGGTGGAAGGTTTTTGATAAAATGAAAATAGCTAAGTCAGAAAAAGCAAAAAGACAATGACAATGATTATTTAAAATTCTGTGCTAGAAAATTTTCTCAGAAGAAAAAGACTACCGCTACCGAATTAATCAAACCCCGAATTCCTGACCTGACATAACTCTCAGTCTAGAATTCCTGTGCATCAAACGAATGTATATGCATGTAATCGAATTTGTATCAACTTGGCCACAATAGATTTTTGTATTAACCTTTTTGATATCAAGATATGTGGTGTAGTCACAGCCATTTCTAATTGTAATTATTTCGAAATTCTTACGATTTGATCATTAGCGATAGTACTACAATTTTGACAGTTATCTAATGCGGAATGTACATGTACATGTACGTAAATGAAAATTGATTAGTTTAGGAAATTTATATATCGATATACGTACATGAACGTATTATTTTTCGTTATCTCATTTATCAAATTACGTAAACACTACAGTAATTTTATTATAGGATCAATCTAATTGTAACAATTTCAATATTAACCAATCACATATCCAGAATCTTAACGCTAACCCTAACTCAAGTTCTAATTAACCGATTAAAATGCAGTTGATACAAATAACTGTTGTTACAAACACATTTATTATAAAATTTTTCTATATTCAACGGTAGGTGACCCGTTCCGATTGCAATATCAGGCTTACCTATAAATAGAGATAACTTTTCTTTCAATTCACAAATAAATAACAAACAATGAATCAGCAACTAGCCGATAATACTACTATCTCCCATGATGGTAATTCACTAAATTTCTCCCGGTATGAATGCTTAAGGCCACCACCCTATCCCTCTAATATCATTCTGGATGATATCCTTAAAAGAAATATTTTTCAAAACCGCAAAACATTAAAAATTGGGAATTCATTTTTTATTTATCGCATGGTTATGGTAAAGCAGAATGAAAGACAAGCAATAAAATGTGATATGCCGACGTTATCAAAGATTGCTTCCAAGTTTTGGAAAGAAGAATCACAGCAAGTTAAACATTGTTACAAAGAACTAGCCAAGAAAGCACAATATCTTTTTACTGAGCAATATCAAAAAATGCAAGTAGTAGGCAACCCACTTCAAACCACTAAAGCTGGAAGAAATTTAGGATTTCCCCAACCTCAAGGATCTACTATTCATCGAACCAGATTACCTTCTATCTCAACACTTAATCCAATAGATCGGTATCTTTGTCAAAAACCTCGATATAATCCAATTCAAGCTAATAACAGCAATTTAAACACTATTACTAACATTCAAGAGACAAATAACTATAATCAATTACTTGAACAACTGATGCTTCATCAACAAATGATGCTTAAACAACAAAATATGCTGGAACGACTCATGAATTACCATAAATCCCGTCTCTAATTTAAATTTATTTTGGACATTGATTTAACCTATATTATTTAAATTTATTAGCTCGCGTACCTGTTAAGTAAATGTGCAAAATTGTAAACTTCTTATCGTTATACTATTCAAGAGAGCAACAATAAAAAAAGATGAATAGTACAATTTACTAATGTAAATATATTGAAACGCAAAATCTGTTTTTTAAATAGTTTACATGCTTACCAAATTACAAGTTTGCTTTTGGCATAATAAAATTATCATGAGAGTTCATAACAATATTAACTCTTAAAGTAGTGACTTTTTCGTCGGACAGTAATTCACTGATGCAAATCAATTTTCACATTTATACCGCAGTAGAACAAACCATATATCCCTTTTTATATGATGAGCAAACGATTAGAGCTGCTTGCTTTTGATATTATGACAAATGTCACAATTACTTTTTACATATGTTGTAATTGTTCAAAACAATTACAACCGGCAGCTTTATAAAGGACACAACAATCACTTTATAAAAAAGCAAACACGTAAGATCTACAGGAATTGCAATGAATGATATGAATAGCACGGCATGGTACATGAACGCGACAAATTCCATATACATAAACACGTTTCTGTTACTTTTTTTAGCACGAAACCACACACATAGAACGGATTGTCAAATTCGTGCCACTTTCACGTTAAAAACCATGTTACAGATGATGATCTAAGTGATGTAAATAGTATATACATGTATAACGCAAAATCTAATGAAAAAACCTTATTTCATGAATTAGAATTTTATTTTACTGACTATAATATATTAATAGGATTTTGTTTAGTTACTATTAGCGAGGACATCATGAATTCAATTAGACGCATTTTAAATTAATTTTTTATAAGATAAATAACACCATTCGATCTGCCTGGACAAATCGAATGGTAATCTTTACGTTCGAAACGGTTCACTGGATGCTAAGATACCGGATCCAAAAAAGGCGATTTTTAAAAAAACCACAAGGTTGCTTTGGGTACATTATCGCAATGTTGAATGAAAATACAACCGTTCAAGAGATCAGTTGAATGATGTTCAAAACAGTCACTAGATACTGCGGTCCAATATATTTTTTCAGTTTTCAATCTTTTTTGGGTCGCAGTATCTTGCTACCCAGTGGACTGTTTGAACGTAAATACCACCATTCGTTTTATTTTGCCCAGGCATAACGAATCTGATTACTAAGATATCATGTTAAAAGTGACTATTTTATTTTATAAATATGCATAATTGAATTCATGATGTTATTCTTACTAATGGTGACCAAACAATATAATATGTAGAGAAATAGTGAGCGAAAATAAAATTCTAATTCATAAAATAAGGTTTTCATTAGATCATCATCTGTATTTGTCGTGTTTCTCGTGTTTCCCGTGCTTGTACTGTTACAGTAGTGACATTAAATCCTTTGATTCCGTAATTTTACTCTTAATTTCCACATGAATATCTTTACATAATTTCTCTTGATAATTCCTACATGATAATCCTTTTAAAATTACGTAGTTTCTTGTATAATTCGTATTGTAAGCCAAATTTAGAAATATTTCATTATTACTTTTTTTTCTTATGTCATGAACATCCCATCGTTCCTCGATATTAATGCACGTAACGATAGTGATTATCTAGAGGAAGACAATTATCTGGACAATTAAAAAACATCGAACGATTATTGCTAAATTGTTTCTAGAAAATTTTAAACCATCAATGTAAAATACTAACCGTAGTAATTCAAATTGTATATAGTAGCGCGTTCTTGAGTCCCTGAAAAGACATGCTTTGATCTAATAAAATAACAAAGTTCTTGCTTGTAGTAATAATATTACTTGTGAATACACTATTATTTTGTTTTGTTTTGTGGTCAAACTTCAAACCTTGTGAGTAATTGTAAGTAGTGGATGCTTCTCACTCTAAATAAGCCGTCGATTTCTTTTGAATTATTATTTTGATTTGATTTTGCTTTCTTGAGCAGGCCGTATCAATAAGTCCTGTTGAATTAATTTTGTTTCTTTGTACAGGCCGTACCAATAAGTTCTGTTGTGTTTGAGATTATTCTGATAGCCAACAAATAAACATAGATAGAATTTTATTGCTTTATTATTGATTTTCTTTACAAAATTACTCTATTTACTATTTCATTTGAAACGCCCTAATATTAAAAAGGTCGATTTGTGTACAAGTCGCCACGGGAAACCTTTAGAACGCCCAAAGAAACCCTTTGCTCGTAAATGAATTAGTCTAGCTCTCATCCCTGTTGCGAAAAACCCCTCTTTAACTAATTAATATATTCAACGCAACAGTATCATGCCGGACCATTCCTTGTAATTTTCGTGGTTTTTGCGTGCTTGCCTTTTTATAGGACTATTTACAGAATTTATATTTGTTTAAATTACCTTAACATTAATCCGTAATAATATTTGACATCATCATTATGATATACAGTGGCCCACACATGTAACGGAACACGAAAATTAACTTTCTAGCATTTTTATTTCCATGACTATTAGTCTAGACAAAATAAAAAAGTGTTCATTTGAAACCCTAAAACCTCTAATATTTTTAAAAATAATTTGACAACAGATTATTTTGTGAAATAGAGTGATTTAAATCAACATTTACAATTAGTAAATTTC